TCCCAAGCATAATGTCCCTCTCCAAGGACCTTTCCTTCCTTACAACATGTCCAAAGTATGTCAGATGAAGCCCCAGAATCCTTGCCTCCAAGAAGCAGCCTGGTTTAACCCTCTCCAGGATGAATATGTTTCTTGGCAGTCCACGGTACATTCAGCACTCTTCTCCAGCACCATAGCTCAAAGGCATCAATTCTCCTTCTATCCTCCCTAGTCATTGTCCAACTCTCTGATGCATAACAAAGAGCACCCCCTCCAAAATACAGATGTTCTTTTCTCCAAGACATAGCTGTTATTTTTGGCTGTTCATGGTATGTTCACTGCTCTTCTCCAATATCATAGCTCAAAGACATCAATTTTTCTTGTATCGTTCTTAATCATTATTATCCAGCTCTTAGGTTCATAGCAAGTGATCAGAAGAAAGACTATGGCCTGAATCAGATGTACCTTAGTCCTCAAACTGACATCATGACTCCTCAATAATTTAGAGGGCCCTAACCTGCAGATTTTCACAGTACAATATGTTTCCTTATTCTCTGACTGCTGGTAATAAAGGGTGTTAATTGTGGATCCAAGCAATATGAAGCTGTTGACAGTTTCAATAGCCTCTTCATCCATCATGATGCTCACTGCCTATCGGTCCTGTGGTAAGAATCTTTGTGTTCCTGACATTGAGAAGCAATCCATAATAAAGGCTGCATCCCTTGATCTTCTGCAACAAGTACTATATCACTGAAATGGATCCAGATGCTATGTTTTCTAAAAAATGTTAAACTCTTGAGGTTCAGTGCCAACAGATAACTCTGCAGAAGACAGAGTAATTTTATAGATGAAGAATCTGAATTACAGAGCTGAGTTCAAATCTACATAGTTTGACTCCAGAATCTGTCCTATTACCCACTTTGTTGTGTTGTTTCCAGTGAAATGAAAAAGGAACATGGTCTAGTAAGAAGATTAAGTAAAGCTGGGAATGGAGCAGAAGTTAAAGCTTGAAATAATGAGGCTAAAGGGGAAAGGGCATGAACCACAGCCTCCACCCGCCTGGATCCAGAAGAACTAGATGGTGCCCCGCTACCACTTCTTACTGCTCCAATGAGGATCACTATAGAGGCTCAGGGACAAAGTGGGAGGAAAACGTAGAACAAAATTTAAAGTTATTACTTTAAAAGACCAGCTTTGTTGGTCTGATAGAAATTGATGTTATTTCCAAAACTATGGTCCTTGGACACCCTTCAGACCTGAGGTTGAAACAACATACAGGCCTAAAAGGGAACAGAAACCCCCATAGGATTGTGCTGCTCAGCACAATTAACTGCAAGACCTAAAAGGCAGTATTTACCCTGAAGTAAAATTCAGAAGGCAGGAAGGATGAGGAAATGGGAGGGAGGAGTCCAGAGAGGAAGTAGGAGGAGTGTTGTTATGTGGAGAGGAAGTGGGAGGAGTGTTGTTATCTGGAGAGGACTGGAGCTAATTTTGTCACCTAACAAAATGAGGAATGCATCCTATCTCCATACCTTTTCAACCTATATGCAGAACAGATTATCTGGGAGGCAAGGCTCTATGATGAGAAATGTGGGGTCAATATTGGTGGACAATTTATCAACAATCTGCGTTATGCGGATGACACAACCCTGCTTGCTGAAACTGTAGAGGACTTAAAAGACCTGCTGCAGAGTGTCAAGGACTGCAGCCTACAATATGGATTGAGGCTCAATGTCAAGAAGACAAAGATTCACACCACTGGA